TCGGAGTGAGTAGCGACCACATACGGATGAACGTCGTGGCCCTGAAGATAACCTGCAAAAAGTGAATGTTTGTTGATCTGTTAAAGACTAAATCATTTCTGCAGTTCCATACTGCCCAAAATAAAGCACAAACGCCAACACGAATATGTCTTGCAGTATCGGAATCGACCCCATCAAGCCATGTTCTAAATAACATGTTGATAGAGGTGGGCTGATTAATATTAAACGCAATATGAATCGAATGCCACAGAATCTTAGCCAACGGACAATCGAGAAAGAGGTGTTTGATGTTTTCGTTATGATCGCAAAAGCTACACCTAGAAGAGCCCACCCAGTTGCGTTTTGCCAGGTTATCCTTAGTCAAAATGACTTGTTTATACATGTATGGGTTATATATATTAAGTTGGGTGAAAGTCTGTTTCGAAAATAAAATGACACCAAGTTAGTTGAATGATCGTGACACAAATGTAGCATCACACATACATCCTCGGTGCACAATTGCAGAGTTGCATAATTTATAGCAGCACATATTGTGTCGTTCTTAATTACGTCGTATTATAGTTGATTAAAATATACAAAACTACATAATCTCAATTATCACAAAACCATTGTCTTAAGGAAGAGCTTCAAATAACCCACTTTCCTCACAAAAATAATAATTACCTATTCATGTATAATGTTGTAAACTGTGCACTTTCGTCCATTCCAATAAGTCTGTCAGGATTATCCCACTATGTTGAGCATAACACTATACCTAGCTAGGTTGTTACTCCATTTATCCTTTTGACTCTGCATATTAGCCTTGCTCCAAGTCAAACTTTATAAAGTGATCGAGTTTATAGAAAACAGTACAGACATTTACAATAACAAATATATATAGGCACACACACACACACACACACACACACACACACAATACAATGATTGATCTAATAGTATTCATTTGGTATTGTAGAAGCTAATAAAAATTAAAATTTGTTAGAGTTTATAAAGTTTGACTGAAGACAAAGTTAATATGTTGAGTAAATAAAAACAGAAAGAGTATGTGAAAAGATGTCTCGTGATCTCTTTGCACATATGACTGATAGAGGAAATCAAGATGCTACTGAAGTTCCATCAAAACTTGTATTACTCATATTAGTCATAACCAAAACGTTATTAGTCATCCATTCGCAAAAAAAAACGTTATTAGTCATGTCCTAGCAAATTATGCTAGACATAATGGTTGTATAGCTGTTTGATTAAGCTCTAGTCCTGAAGATGTTGAGGGCAGATGCACCATTGATTGTAATCCTTGTGGTTGAGTAATGCAAGTTATTTTCTGCAAAAAAAAGAGGGAGTACACGAGTTTCAATAAAAGTTGAAGGTTAGCTTCCCATATATAACACATCAACCGTCTTAATCACATCCAATGGATAAAAAAACCATGGAAGTTAATAATCATATCACAACTAGCTAAATATTCTCCCTGGAAAAAATAGTAGTGTTGAGCTAATTGCATGGCTTTGAATTCGACACATATTGGTTCTAGCTAATATCATATTGTACTGCAAGCACTGATTCATTCAGACAATGCTTAAGTTGAGAGAGAGAGAGAGAGAGAGACTATATATTTCAACACAAAGTTGGTTAAGCAAAGGGAATCGCTATCGCCACTGCCAACGAGCGAACACAGGGCTCACACCTGGCTAGAAACTCATGAGGTCATGTGTTCCTTTGCAACTAGTGTCTAAGTGAATTGGGGAGCGCTTGCTCCCTTTTCAGAAAAAAATACTTTTCACTCTTTCAACAATTCCAAAAAAAGCGCATTAGATGACTCGTTATTATGTTCAAGTTCCAAATTTCTTGAAAAAAATCACCTTATTATGTTGTTGTGAAAAAAACTCAAGGTCCTTTTCTTAAAAAAAGGCCTAAAATAATTTATTTTCTAGCTCCGATTCTAGGTTTTTTTTTTGCATACAGACTACAAATCAACAATTCTACGCACTGCTATCTACATGCCAGGTTTGTTTTGAACTTTCTATTTTTTATAGTCTCATCCTTTGAATGTTACTTTCTTTTTTGAAAAATCCAGCAAAATTGTTGGCTTGATTCAGATTTAGCAGAAAGCAACGGAAGAACGACATGGTGAAGATCCGAAGATCAAAGAAAAAGAAAAACATCAGCCTAAAAGCTGCACAACGACCCTACACTCACAAGGCGGAACGCCATCCACCCACAAGAATACAACGCAACTCCAACTCCGACGGAGAGCTACGAAGAAACTAGGCAAGGTTGGCTTTGAATCTTACTTCATTCTAAGAAATAGAGAGTATGTGATCCCGGGTGCACAAAAACAACATGGTCTACGTTAGCACTTAGCAAGCACTGCACCAGACTTGAGGTTTGTGTGGACTTGTATTAACAATTGAAGAAGTATGGTCCTTGCAAAAAAAAAAAACTGAACAAGTATGGTTATTCAGCATTATGGATCACCATTGAGTTTCATACAAAGCCACTTGCATTTCATTAATGAGCAAGAAAAGAATATATATAAATGTAGTTCTTTATAGATGTAGAATTGTTTACTTAAGCATCTTTGGCTATGAGATAAGGTCATTATGTCTTGTTGTTTACCTTCTATTTGCTACTCCCTCCGTTTATAAATGTAAGATGTTCTAACTTTTTTTCAGAATCAGATGTATATACTGTTATTTTTCACTCATTTTAGTCTGTATGTAGTCCATATTGAAATATCCAAAACATTTTATATTTATAAACAAAGGGATTACTTGTTAATATGTGTTCTCGCATTTACTCGGGTGAACATTAAGGTAGCATGCACAGGCACAGAGGAGAGTTTATAAAAAAAAAACTTGCTGTACTATGTTTGGTTTGATGGTTTCGGTAACTTGATAATGTGGTTCACAAATGGGTCAAAGCTCACAAAGTTCGTAAAAAGTAGGATATTATCTCCCTATTATCTATGTGTGCTATGGTTGAGGAGAGTTTATAAAAAAAAACTTGCTGTACTATGTTTGGTTTGATGGTTTCGGTAACTTGATAATGTGGTTCACAAATGGGTCAAAGCTCACAAAGTTCGTAAAAAGTAGGATATTATCTCCCTATTATCTATGTGTGCTATGGTTGAGCCAAAGATCACCCAGGACCAAGAGGCGCATGCCTGTACAGGTCATTACAAAACTGTTATACAGTTTACAGTGGGAGTATGTAACTGTGATAAAGGTCATTGCAGAACTGTTTTTCTTTTTTTGAGCTGCATTGCAGAACTGCTATACTCAGTCACTCACTATCAAAAATTAGAATATGTGTAGAGGGCTATCACTCAGTGGAAGTTAAGTAACATATATCAAGTAAAATATGGTTGCTAAGAAGCACGGAAGAATAAGTTACAAAGATTCCCGAATGTTAACATAGACTGAACTGTTTGGTGAACTAAGATAAGGAAGACAAATAGATGGTCATTTTCATGTGCGTCAGTGTGAATGTTTAACGACTTGGTCAGGTGATCAATTGCCTACAAAATATTCTATAACCAACCAAAGGATATTGCTTTTTTATAATGCCTAGAATCTAAGTGCGTGTACCACAGCTTCACTCATCCCTCCACGCCATCCAAAGATGACAACAAAGATGCTATATGTTGCAATGGTTTATTTCTTTGGTATTCTATGAGTAATTCAAATTTAACTTAGAACATGGGAGTACGGAATGAGCTTCGTTGGATTGGAGAAAAATGGCCTCTTTTCCAAGTATACAAAATAGGGATACGTTGATATAAAAGAAGGGGAGAAAATGTTGCCGCCCATGATCGAGAAAAATAGGGATACGTTGATAAAAAAAGAGCAAAAATTTGTTGCTGCCCAGGATCGAACTGGAGACCTTCAGTGTGTAAGACTGACGTGATAACCACTACACCACAGCAACTGTTGTTAACAAATAACCGATTTATATTAAAAGTTAACATATTTGTTGTCCTTTTTCCAGAATTCACATGCACCGATCCACGCAGAATCGCCTTCGAAGTATCGCATTTTGTATTGTAGGGTTCCGGAAGATGCTACACACTTTGTTCCCTTCGGCTTAAGAGGGGCATCTTCAACATTTATACATAATAATACTAGTTTTTTGTTTGAACTTCGATAATAATACTAGTTGTTAGTAGTAAATTAGCCACATAAGACACATAATGATATGGCAAGAAAATAAATAAAGAGAGAAAGAGTAGAGAAGCTAATAATCCTGGCCGAAGTCTCAAGATGCAAAAGGAGAGCAAACTTATAGCTTCCCTCACCTCCTACCGAACAATTTAGACACGTTTCATTAGAGTTGTACTCCCTCCGTTCCGAATTACTTGTCTTGGATTTGTCTAGATATGGATGTATCTAGACTCATTTTAGTGCTAGATACCTCCGTATCTAGACAAATCTAAGACAAGTAATTCGGAACAGGGGAGTATATGATAGGTTGTTGGTTAATTATATGAATAGTTGTATACTTACAGAATAACACAAACTACTAACGATGCTCTGAGCCTTCAGACGGATTTCTCGGGCACCCTTGTTGGATTACTAGGTGGATTGCATGGGAATGATTCCTTCATTGGCTGCCTTACACATACATGCCCTGGAAGACTTGAACTCCTTCCACCATGGACATGGTTGAATCTTTCTGACGGTCGTTCGAATTTGTTTCAAAACTAGCGTGAACTACTCGAGTGCAGAAGGCCGAATCACAAACTCACAGCAGATACAAACAGTGACTATGTGCATCTCCACAATAACGGCATCCAGATCTTACAGCTTCGAGCCTGAGATCCAAAGACATCTCTGAACAAAATAAAGGCCATGTCGAATTGTAGCTTACAACTATGAGCTATAGTACAAGGATTGTACATCCAGGAGGCAAGAAAACTAGTATAGGTATTACAAAAAACTTCCCTATAATCGGTGCGACAATCATCTTGTCCACAACCCAGGTTTCATCTGGATTGACTGGCACTAGGTCACTCGCTGTCTGTAAGGTGTATCCATGCATCGGGTATAGAAGAACAACGAGAATTGAAACTGAGCATTCCATAGAGTCAGGTGGGCTGTCTGCAAACAGAAAAGAAAAAAAACAATTTAGGCCTTACAATAAAGCAGATAATACAATCAACATTGGCACAGAAATAACAAACTAAAATCAATATAATAGCCAGCAAATATAGATCCCAGAAATATAGTGATGCCAGAAAACAACTTCTGGGGCATTTTCAATATGCTCACTGTGAATTGTGATCCACCTTCCTGGAAAAGTCTCTGCTTAATAAGGATTTGGCTTATCTCTTTGGTAGATCTAGAAATAAAATGAGCTCATATATTCCCAACGATGCTATCCTGCAACTCAATCAGTGCACAGATGAGCTTGGTAACTTACAACTTATGAGATGTTCCAACTTCTGAATTTGCAAATTCCACGACGTCCTTGGTCAAATGAGGTGCGAATAGATTCCACCATATAGGATACAGAGGGAGATTCCAATAGCTCAATTTCCCGTTCCTGTTATTATGGAATGGTATAAATGCACGGAAGAAAGAAAATGCAACTATGCAAGTAACACAGAAAAAAAGAACAACCGTGCTTACCAGTTCAGCGAGTCGGTCTTCAAAGTTACTCTGGGAACTACTGGCTGGCATAAATACTTTCCTATATGCTTTCCTTAGGCTCCGTACCTTTGATGTTATGAAGAATCCATAACAATCTTATGAGAGAAAGATAATTTACTTGAGTGCAAACATTTAGCTAGTAGTGTTTAGGAACTAAAATCAAACCCTCCAGGAGTCCTTAAGAAAATGGTGCAGAAAGTAACGACAGTTCATGCTTATGGTGGTAGTTTAAAAAATAAATCCTACACCCTTTGTTTATGAATGCTTGGCACTTTTGACTAAGATTTCTGTGTAGAGAAATACATGATAGTCTCCGCTTCCTAATGCATGTATGGCCTAATGACCTATACAACTCTACTCATGGCCCTCTGCTTGCATTGCCTCATTGCTCCTATTTAGAAATATTATTATGGAAGGACATTCTAACCATGTATACCTAAATTGTGATTGCTTAGTATGTGTGACCTTGTAAATATGCTAAGTATTCAAGAACAGACGTACTAGTAATGATGATTTTCACATCATAATTCTTCGTGACTACTAGCAAAATCTATGACTAGTTTTAATGGGTGAAATTATCAGATGATGCATATGTCACAAAAAATATCCTCCCAGTAACGCATTGAAATAGTTTACTGTGAATTCGCAATAAATGGCATCATATGTCTATACACTTACCCATATCAGTAAATGGGAGATGAGAAGTGACTAGTACTATTCTAGGTACTCTCTTTGATTCAAGTATCAAACGACGAAAGACAAGCACTGCAGGTGATATCAATAAGGGCTCTAAATTTTAGTAATATGAGCAAACCTCTTGGTCTGAGAAACCGTTGCGCCTGAGACCTTCAAGATTCAGACCACGAAGCTCTGCTCTATCACCTGCAACCATCGTGTATCTTGGAACATCTTGTGCAACCTGATTTAAAGAGAAATGAATGAATCCATAATCAACAGACAAAATATTCAAAGTTTAAACATTGTGAATTGCTTACAACTTAAAGGTGGTGGTAACAACAGTTCTAAGGCCGTTTAATTATTAGGGTTGCTCTCTACATAAAGCAGAATAGGTGCATCAATTCCAATTAAGCAATGAGCTAATCAAATATCCAGAAATCCACAGAGCCCCACTTCCACCTCAGCGATTAGGCCCTGCTGGCAGATAGATGAGGTTGTATCACGCTAAATGACATTTGACATGAGTGCCTCCATGCAGAAATAATACTCCCTCCGTTCCCAAATATAAGTCTTTCTAGAGATTCCAACAAGTGACTACATACGGAATAAAATGAGTGAATCTACACTCTAAAATATGTCTACATACATCCATATGTTGTTGTCCATTTGAAATGTCTAAAAAGACTTATATTTAGGAACGGAGGGAGTACTTCATAATTTTGTATGATCATGCACCTGTGCCTAGAAAAGCAACATCAGGTAAAGTGTACCATGTACACTGATTCTCTGACTTTAGCTCGCATATCTCGTTTTCTATTTACTATTTGCATTATCTATTAGCACAATTTGGCCGTGGGTAATGGAGAGAGGACTGATCAACAACTAAACCACATGACCTCGATATGAACTCTTTCCATAAGAATTATTCCAATACAAGGGAACACCTAAAGCACATGAATATTTATACTTTGCAGACCAAACATACCACAGAGCCTCCGCCTAGAAATGAGAATGATCCAATGTGACAAAATTGATGGACAACGACAGCCCCAGCAGTATGAGTGCAGTCCTGAAACAATAAAATCTTAACGATGCAGAAATGGGCTCTCGACTAAGAAAATGTGGAGGTTATCACAGTAAAATGATTACTCACTTCAACAATAACATGGCCACCAAATAGAGTATTATTAGCAAAGATGTTATTGCTGCCAATCTTGCAGTCATGTGCTACATGGCAGGACCCCATTATGAGATTATTGTCACCAATAACCTATAAAAAAATGCTTGCTCGTAAAAAGGGAGAAATGAGCTCAGCAAATATATTTGAATCATAGGGAACCTGAATACCGTGCAGTCACAAGGTTTAGAAGATCGGTGAATAGAGCAGTACTCTCTGATCTCATTGTTGTTACCAATGCGTAGAAAGCATTCATCTCCTGGCTGAACAGGAGGAGAAGGGCGTTAATGTTCTGCACAAAGCATAAGATTTCAAGTAACCAAATGAAATGCTCGTCATTCTGAATGTAAGTGTTTGTGTGTCAGCAAAAAAATGATTGACAAACAATAAGCACAAAAGTAGTTGTCTTGAATAAGATTGCATGAACGGGAAACGCTAATCATACACTGCACTATGTGACATCATTACACCAAAGTCAAGTTACTGCTAACCTTATATTTGAGATCTTGGCACTTAACACCAACCACAGCATAGTTCCCAATTACATTATTTTCCCCAATAATTGTTCGTCCAGGTAGATCTGCACCAAGAATAGCACCACTGCCAGAAACTAAATTCCACAGTATGAATAGGGGTAAAAGTATGTTACTGATATAGTGATATGTCATATTTTCACATATCATCGAATTTGCAACATGGACTATCCTGGAACTTTGCAAATTTCAGACTTGAGTGCTGCTGGCTATGGCGTAACTGTTGACAAAAAACTAAGTGCTTCATATGGTGAGAACATTCCTTTTCTAAACTAATAAACCCTGATCAAGAACCTAAAAAGAGATGTGAAGTACATCTCTTTCTTTTGGAGAAAAACAGTACAGAGAGACGGCAGGTCTTGAGATTGGGTGTGGGCTGGTTCCACCACAAGAAACCTAACCATCTAAGCTATGCTTAGTTTGCAGATGTGATGTGAAGTATTTCTGAATCCCTGCTGAAACAATATACAACCAGAGTACCAGTAGTCCAGTACCGACCTCCACCAGCACCTAGTGATGTTATTCAAGTCATGGCCACAGCAACCTAAACTTACTTTTGCTTGTACTTTATCTTGGAACAAACTTACAGGTTCTTTCTCGCGTCTATTTCTAGTTTCATGCCAATTTGAATTTTCAAATCATACAATGCAAGCCTTTATGTATTACCAAAAGAGAGAAAAGCCGGAACAGAAAATAGGGAGAGATGTCATCATACGTGTGAACAACACATCCTTCTCCTAGCTCGGTGTGTCCCGTGACATGACTCCCTGTATGTAACTGACAAGCATCACCGATCCTCGCTGAAGCCCCCACGGTGCAAAATGGGCCTATTGTGACACCCTACAAAATAGTTCAGAGCACATAAAAAACACTGATTTTCTACCATACAACTCCAAACTAGAGAATGCATGCCAACAGCCTGAAGATCCCAGAGGGCAGCATATTTCCACAGAAACAGAAAGTAATTATGGAGCACTGAATTCAGAAGGCACAGGTAAACACGAGTGCCGCATGGGCCAGATCCAACAGCCCAGGCACGCCGGCTTCATGGGTGGGATGGTCGGAGAGTAATACTGAAGTAAGTAATGCGTGCACCACTACGAGTATCCAGAAACTCAGTCAGCCATCCCCGAAGCAAAAGCTGCGAGAGATGGGAGGGAGCGATCGGTGAGTGCGTGTGTGTGCCGTGTGCGTGTATGGAGCGCAGGCGGGAGTCTTCACCTGGCCGATGGCGGCGTCGGGGTGGACGACGGCGGCGGGGTGGATGAAGCTCGTGGACGCATCCCTCGCCGATCCCTCCGAGGCACCTGCGGGCCGCCGGGCATGGGAGGCAATCCCGCATGAGTGAGGGTGACGCTAATGGAGATTAGTTAGGATACGATGAGAAGAGGGGGAGAGCGCGCGTACTTGCTTGGAGATGGCGCGAGGCGATGAGGAGACGGGGGGAAAGGAGGCGGCCGGCGGCGCGAGAGGCGGCGGCGGCGGCCATGGAGGGGGAAAGGGGCAGGTGGACCGCTGTGAATGAGGTCAGCCAGGGTTACGGGTACCCGCTGCTCCGATGCTGCCTGTGTGCGTCTATCAGCGTCAGCATTCCAGCGGTACAGCCGCAGCCGCACGCCCGCTGCCAAGACACACGCGGCAGTCCCGCGGCCTGCTCTTCGGCGACAGCAGCCGATCTTTGCCGCAATTTACACATACCGTAGTCTCTTTTTCTTTTCTTTTTGAACTTATTACACATACCGTAGTTTGCTCAGGTTATGTACACGACCTTGGAGCTCCAGGATCATCTCGACCAAAACATATAGCTAAAGAATCGTACGATTTGACTGTGTACACGGTTCGCTTTTCTTTCCTCCGAAGAAAAGAAAAGGCGGCTCGCGGACGTCTTAGCCGTATGGGGTTTTGCCCTTCGTTCAACGCAATAATCTCATTTTTGGCGAGCCACCTTAGATGTCTACAAAACTATATATCAGTAATGGAGCCGCATCGAGCTTAGGCGTGGAGGTGATTTATCATTTTTTTTTTCTTTGATGACCGTTGTGGTGGTGCCAGAGGCAGATGACGAATGTCGGTGTAAAGCTCGGAGGATTGTTTATTCTTTTTTGTAATTTTACTTCTTAGCTAGTGTTCATTTGTGCAAAGACTATCTTTCGACTTTCTTTTCAGTTTTCCCATGTCGATATGTGCGTGAGTTGTACCATGGTCCTTATGATATAAATGAGACACATATTACTATGAAAAAAACATAGCTAAAAGAGAAAAATTTCACTCTAGGTCACTAAACTTGAGCCGGATGACACATTAGTACCACTATTTCAAAATACCCGAACTACGGTCCAAATAGTTGCGCTAGGGGTTCACTTTGGTTCATGTATACGATTTTGTATACGTATTTGCTGACTTGGCCGCCAGCTCGCTTTGACCGCCACCTGGTCGTGCCTTCGGTGAATACTAGTCCATCCAAGGGGTTTTTTTGCATCCCGGCGAGGATATCGGAGCTGAAGCATCCGTTGAACCAGCAGACCTTGTACGCGGCGACGTGTGCGCCGGAAGCCACGCCGCGCGCCTCCCCAGCCCCGGCGCCGAGAACACTGGCTCCGGCCACGGCGGCCCCCACGGCCGTCGACGCCATGTTAGTCCCGTGCCCGTGCGCGTCCCGCGGCGAAGCGTACTCCCGCGCGCGCTGCGGCGTCCGACGGGTCTGTCGGGTAGTTGGCGCGGTGGCCTTGGAGTAGAACCGCACGCCGACGAGCTTCTAGTTGCAGTTCGTCGCGTTGAACCGCTCCCCGGTCTAGCACACGCCCGGCCACCGATCCGGCACCGGCGGCATCCCGCGGTCGTCGAAGCTTGGGCTCTCCGGCCACACGCCAGTGTCGAGCACCCCGACGACCACACCGCGGCCATACCGCGCGCGTGCCCACGCCTCGGTCGGGCACACGTTAAGGCTGAGGAACCGGTACGAGTACGTGGTGTGCAGCTCGACCCGGCGGTCCTCGCGCACCGACGCGACGCCCTGCAGCGCCCGCAGAGCTGCCGCTTCGCCGACCGTGAGCCGCGCCGCAAAGCCGTCGAACACGGTGTGGTAAGAGTACAACAGCCTTGACGACGGCTTCCACTGGCGCTTTGCATCTTGCTCCACTGAGGAAGGCAAGGATTTGACGATGAAGGCGAGGTGCCAGTCGTGCTCGAAGATCCGCGTGGGTGCAGCTGGACAATGTAGGTCCGCAGAGCCTCCTCCTGATCCGCGGCGGTGCCATGAAGAAACACCAACGAGGAGGAGAGGAAGAGGAACACCGCGTGGGAGGCGAACAGGTGGAGGAAACCCATGGCTGCCTTGCTAAGCGATCGAGCAGTTGTTCGCTTTGGTTTGCGACGGTGAGGTGGGAGATGGAGAGGTGGGTGGGAGATCGAATTTCGCGGACGACGACGACGTGGCTGGGCGAGCGTGTCTGTCCTGAGAGACGACGCTTCCTCTGGCAGGCGGAGGCGGGGCCGTGAGCAAGAGGCACAGCACATTAGGTGGAATGGAAGACGCCAAGGAGGAGGAGCGAGCAGCAGTGATGGCTCGCTCGCACAGCCTGCTTTGCCGACCTAGGCGCGCACTGGAGGGAGTAATGGCAGGCAGGGCCGTCCGGGCTCCGGCCGCTAGTCACCCGATGGAGCTCTGACTGACGCTGGGTTCCTTAATGGCGCAGACACGGGTAGAGAGAGAGGAGGAAGACTGAGGGAGGAGGAGCGTATCTGCCTCGTGCGTGCCATTTATGATGCCTGCTGCCTTCTTGCTTCTGTTGCACTCCAGGCGGCGGAACAAGGAGGACCGGGGGCGGCGCCGAGTTGAGCAGGAGGCGCCGAGTTGGACCGGGGCTGGTTTAATGGTCATGCTGTTTTTGCAAAAAAAAAAACTGGACGGACTAGTATTCACCGAAGGCATGACCAGGTGGCGGTTAAAGCGAGCTGGCGGCCGCTGACTCGGCCAATTCAGTAAATACGTACACAAAATCGTATACATAGATCAAAGTGAACCCCTGGCGTAAGTACTTGAACCGTATTTCGGGTATTTTAAAGTAGTGGTTCAAATGTGTCACCCGGCTCAAATTTAGTGACGTAGAGTGAATTTTTCTCTAGCTAAAACCCCAAAACAGAACTTTTGGGTCTTTTTAACACAAGGAGTGGACCCACAGCAGACCAAAAAATGCATACCAAAAGTGTAGAATGTAGAGGGGCGTTGAACTTGTCTCGTCTACTCACTTTGCTCACTGTACTCAAGAATGTTGGTTTATAGATGGGTTCACGCCCATATAATCAATAATCTCTGGGTTTTTTGCGGGTGAAATAATCTCTAGTTAATCTCCAAGGCTCATATAGGTGCATGGCAAGTTGAGAAGAGTTGAGATCTCTTTGATAAGGGATGCTCTTCCTCTTACTATTGGGGTATTACTCCTATAAAGGTGTAGCGACCAGACCTAAATAGTCCGATCTTTGTGCATCAGTGTCATCTCTGGATCGGTAATGCTGACACACACAGTATTTGAAGATTTATAACAGAGTAGCAATCACACATTTATTACATCGAATGTCTCAAAAGAGAACTTATTACAATAAATATGGCTTAAGGCCATCTAATACGATAACAACAGAAGACTTGGAAGATAAAGTGAGCCCATCAACTCCAACGGCATCACTGAGTGAAAGACCACGACCTAAGGCTTCTTACTCGTCGTTTGAAAAGTCTGCAACATGATACGTTGCAGCCTGAAACGGGTCAACACATGGAATATGCTGGCAATGTAACACAAGAGAGTAATGAACAGAATAATGCTATCACTACATGCATATATGGCTGGTGGAGGCTGTATGGTTAATGTTTTGCGAAAAGCCAATTTTTCCCTACTGCAAAGGAATATATTTTATTTAACTACAAAGTTGGTTGAAAAACATTGAGAAGGTAAACCCCCTCTCAATCCCAATTAAAAGTAACTAATAACTGAATCAAAATTATATTAAGAGTAATGAGATTCACATGATAATTCAAGAACTAGATACTCAAGATGTCCATAACCGGGGACGCGGCTAACCATGATTAGTTTGTACACTCTGCAGAGGTTTGTGCACTTTTCCGCACAAGACTCGATCTCCTCCGTTGGATTTCTCGCACTACATGATGTTTGAGAAACGGATGACCGAGACACAGTCTTTCCGAAGAGGTCCCCTTAACCGATAGATAGACCTGTACACCTACAATCCCCTACATCTGCTAGTCCATCATGAAAAGATTTCCCACAACTTACTCAACTATGCCAGAGCCCATATTGGCATGTGGCTGCACACGGAAGTTTCTAGCATGAATAATCTTATGATCCCTTTGAGCCTGGCCATAGGAGAATCACACGGTACCCCGGGATTTCCAAAAATACAAGCAATCACTGGGTTCCCTAGGTGCCTCAATCCACCCAGATGTGCATTAAAGTTGCCACCTTAAGTTAACCATTAATTAACAACTCACATCTGTCATGGATACTCTCAAACCCAATCCACGTCTACGAGCATAGCATGGCAATATAAGCATAACGTAGAAGTAACTCCCAAGGGTTTGATAATAAACAGGTGAATAGGTTCTACCTCATCTACTTCCCAACCCACAATTTATTCAGATCCTAACCATGCAAGTTTTTGAGGATTGGTCTAATGCAATAAAAATGGGTAGTAAAGAGGTATGATCAAAGTGTTACTTGCCTTGCTGATGATCCGTGAAACCTAGAGACTCGTAGTAGCACGCTTCGCACTCCGGGTACTCTATCGCAATCAAACAAGTATACAATAAGCAATCAAGAAAGGGGCACGGGTAAACTCAAATAAGAAGATCTAACCAGAAATTTCAACTTAAGAACTTCGGTTTGCAAAAAGAATCAAATCAAACGAAGCAACGAAACTCAAACTGCGAAAGAAACAAGCTTCGTTTACTAATCTGGACTAAAGTCAAATTTTACAGTGGCAAAAACTTGTTTAAGTTGGTTAAACAGAAAGAGGGCTTCGAGATGAAACTCTAGGCGGTTGAATCGCCTGATTCCGATAAACGAGCGAAAAGATAAACTAAAACGAAAATCGGATCAGAAATCGCGATCGAGAATAATCGTGAAAAATCTGAGAAAAAGAAAAACTGATGAACAGACTAACGAACGAACGTTTTCACCGTTCGTTAAAACGAACGTCCGGACGAACGTTCGCTAAATAACTAAACCGAAAAAACGAACCAGATCTGAAAAAACAGATCTAGGGTTTACAAAATAAAACCTATCGGTTTTATAAAAAACGGTGGCTACCTCGTGGAACGGGATGGCGGCGGCGGCGGCGGGCGACGAGGCTGCGGCGGCGTACTCCAGCGGGGCGGCGGCGTCGGGCGGCGAGGCGGCGGCGGCGTGCTCCGGCGGTGAGGCGGCTTCGGGCGGCGGTGGGCGGCAACGGGGTTGGCGACGGCGATGGGGTGCGTAG